ACATCAAATTACTCACCGCTATGAACTAACTGCAAACGTCGACTGAAGCCCCGGGATTCGAACGCAGGTTCTCCGCGTCGTAGTTCAAGCCTGTACCAGTTGACCGCGCTGACACCTTACCAGCCTAGGCTCTATGAACTACTTAACTATAATACGGAACAAATGACTCGCCATGATCGGGGAATAGCTATATTTGTGGTTGAACATGATAGATATTATTGATAATGCACTAATTTTAAAAAATCAACAAAGTTGCCATTCGTATGATCCCGTCAGTTAGATGTAAGTGAGTATTAGAGCTAAATTTGTTTAGTAATTTATCTTATTGCATTAGCTTCATATCATTCGATAGTTCGATAGGAAAATTAACAACGTACGCAAATCATTAGTCTACTGAAATCGCAAGTTCTCCAAGAGTTTTAATGCAAAGAAAGCGCCAAATAAATTCACCATATCTTCAATGAAAACGTTTCGGAGACCTCGGTATTTTCTTTGCTCTAACATTTACTGTTACTAAAGCGTTTTCTGTATATCCATGTTAGAAAACTTTCTCATGATAAACTGATTGAGATCTCGCTTTAGCAAAGCGTGAATGACCTTCAACGTTTCTGTTAGTTAGAGTGTTAAAACTGGAAGAGCATATAAAATTCTTACGTAATTCGAAGTATTAAAATACTGACGTGAAATAAATATCACAAATGACACCGGAAATTGGCCCAAAATATCGTGCTATGCGAATGAACTAGATGGAGAATGAAGTTCATTCTCCCGTCACTGTTTCCAACCCCTACCCCTCATCCCTCTCTCTAAACCCCCCCATGCACGGCCTGCGGATCTGCTCTGTACAGCTCCCTGCCGGACAATCCCAAGTACCAGCGCTAAAACAGCGCAGAGTTCCGGCCCTGCCGAGCTGCTAGAATTTTGTCTCTGTATCAGCCATGGCGCAGCGCAGTTTTAGGGATAAATGGCCGGTTATAATTTCACGGCTCCATCCTGCTAAAGCGCGACCAGCCCGGCTAAACCCGGCGCCGGTCTCGACTCAAAATTTTAACTGGGTAGGGCAACTCCTGCATGGTTTCAGGAGTGGGACATTGAGTTACTGGAATGGCCAAGCCAATCACCTGACCTCAAACCGATTGAAAATCTGTGGCGAGAATTGATATTGGGGTTACAGGAGAGAGACCCAAGAAATCTTATCCACTTGAAAGAAATATGCATGGAAGAGTGGGTTTTAATTCCTATTAACATATGTGTTAATCTTGTGAATAAGCATTCCAGTCGGTTAGAAGCAGTTTTGGCTGCTGAAGGTCACATGACGATGTATTGGATAAATTTGCTTACTATCTGTTGGATACTCTTTGAACCTTGAGTTTTACAAAATTGCAATTATCCAGTCAACATTTAATGATATTGTTGTTTTTATAGTATATATGTATTTCATATATAAATTGACATTAAAATAGTGTTTTTTTTATTTTGTTGAATGAGCTTCAATTAAATAAAGTTTTTCCTTTGTGTCGGATACTTTTTGCACCCACTGTATATGTGAACGAGGTATTAAGGAGAGTGAATAAAATCTTCTGTAAGATAGAAGAGTCAGATCCCCTCACACACAAATACTAATTTGGCAAGCTAACCAAGGTGAACTGAGTGTGAGTGTTCTGTTTCATTGTGCAGATTATCACATATGTATGAAAATCAAAGCATAGTCGCTATTTTATTCATTTCCATTAGGACGAAATTTACTGATAAATGATTTTTATGCTCGCTTTTTTCCAAGGAAAATTATTTCAGAGATCGAAATACAGAGTTCAAATTAAAAATTTAATTGATGAATGAGCCTAGCAGACTTATGATTGATGGGCCTATAAATCAGCGTGCATTTTGTCATGTTACCAATAGATAACAAAAATGATCCAAATTCAGATGCAATTAATCACTAAATCATGACTCCTTTGCTCATGAATGGTTGCTGAGCAACTCAATACTCCTCCTTAACTGCATGTGTCTGTGAATATTACTCTCCAGCCTCAATGTCACTACGAGCATGCTTGACCTGCCTGAACTAATAACATGAGATCTGCCTAAACTTTATCAGGAAATTGCCCGAATTACCAGAAGACCAGCAAGAAATATATTCGAATTACTTGAAAGCCAATGAAAACATTTAGAAACTGCCTAAACACCCCCCCAAGAACATGGCTAACCTGAATGTGCTTGTCGCTCTTTCCCTCCCACGAGAGGCGTTCGTCAAACAGAGGTTCACCGTGTGTCCCTACGTAAAAGGGCTCCCAACTCTTAAACGAACCTTCACGCCTGCTCACTTTAAATACCGACAGCCCTGGCTTCACTGTGTCCACCCGCCACTCCTGCAAAATTATTAGATATGAAAAGTAGTTACTAAAGTGAACCTATCACAATAGCGTGCTTTCATCATAGGTTACTCATCATCTTATTATCTTATACTTATCATAGGTTACTCATCCTATTTCCAATCTTGACCATCAAAATTGGCCAATTAACCATTTATAAAACCTGGTCATTTAACCACAATGTTATTTGAATCTTGGCCATCAAAAACTTGAGCAGTCTTCCGATCAAGAACCTGACCATTTACCCACAAGAACCTGACCATTTACCCACAATCTTACCTCGATCTTGGCCATCAAAATTTTGTAAACGATCATTTACCCACGGTCGATCATGCACTTTTTTAACTGAGAACTCAACGCTTGTTTTGATGGAAGTTACTTCTTTGGAATGTATAATTTCTTACAGTGTAATCCTAAATCGGGTAAGCTGATAGAGTATTCTGCTAGTTGTATCACCAGCTCAATTCGTATGTTTATACAAAGCAAACACCTCTCTCTCACCAGTCATTTTTGGCACCCCTGACAAAGCGCGTTCGATCAGTTCCATGGAATGGGTGTTGGCTATTTAATATCCCGCGAGTAACACTTTATACTGGAACTTGAACTCGTCGGATGATTGAGGCCTCTACCAAGGCCTTTTCATCTTTCCAAAGTCGAAGCCAACCCGATTCAATACATGCAGGACCCTAAATCTGACATTCTGGCTCATATAGTGATGGCAGGTCCCTCCAGTGATGGTCAACTAAGTTTTTGAAAGAGTTCACAGATGTGGCCGAGACCACACTATCAGGCAGGTCGTTCCACGAGTCGACAATCCTGTGCGAAAGAAAGTTCCTCTCACGTTAAGTCGGTATTTGCTCTTATACAGCTTCATGGAGTGACCCATGAGTCGCGTTGTAGTGGCTTTAATGAACGTTGGGTGCTGAACGCTGTAGTACCCGTGCAGGTATTTGTAAACCTCAACTATGTCGCCGCGTAAGCGTCGGTGTTCCTGACAAGGTAGTTTCAGCGACCGCAGCCTCTCGGGGAAGGCTTGTCCCTAGTGATCCCAGGAGCTTCGTTGCCCGCCCTTGCACATCCTCAATATCCCTGCAAAGGGTTTTATGGTGTGCATGGCTGCCAAACACAATGTCCGTACTCCAGCAGTGAACGGACTAGACTTTTATACAGTTGTGCAAAGGTATGCTCAGTCAGATGGTCAAATGACCTGCCAACTACCTTGTTTGCTTTGGTTGTGCAATAGGCCACGTGCTCCTTGAAAACCAGGCTAGAGTTCAACATCACTCCCAAGTCCCTTTCCACCCCACTCTCCCTCAGTTCAAGCTGCTGTTCCTGTCCCTTGTTCATAAAATATTTTCTTTCTGATTTCTGTCTACCCAGCTTGACGCTACACTTCTCTGGGTGGAACTTCAGCAGCCATTTGTCAGACCAATCCTGAAGCCGGTGAAGCCGGTTCAAGTCTTCCTGAAGACACTCGGTGTCCTCTTTGGTATCAATTCTAGCAAATAGCTTAGTGTCGTCTGTAAACATGCGCACGTTCGTCTTGCTGCGGCAGGTCATTAATGTACACGACGAAGAGTATCAGACCAAGAACAGAGCCTTGAGGGATACCGCTGCAGACATCGGCTTCTTCCGACCTGTTTCCATTAACTACAACTGCTTGTTTTCTTCCAGATAAAAAGTCCCTCATCCACTCCAGCACCTTATCCCTCTGATCCCAAGTGCTGAAATCTTCGCCAGTAGCCGACGATGCGGAACAGAGTCGGATGCCTTCTGGTAATCCATGTAAATTACGTCAACCCTCCCGCCCTTGTCGACAGCCCTGGTCCAGATGTCCATAACATCGAGTAGCTGAGTGCTGCACGATCGACCTTAGTATCCTTAGTATTTGTTTGAGACGTAGCAGTCCCAAGCCACGATGGATCGCCGCCTCTGATTATCGTTCATCCGCCCTCATTTGGGCCACCCGATGCACGATGCTGTTGCTTGCTTCTCGCCGCTGGTAGTGTTGCAGGGGAGGTCGATCTAGGATTGTGTCCTGGAACACGTCCAGTTGTCTCTTGAAGGTCTCCAGGGTGAACTCCCCCTCTCTTAGATCCCTTGGTAGGGCGTTGAACAGTCTTGGCCCTGCCACGGAAAGTGATCCTTCCCGCAGGAGGGACTGAAATCTGACTGCGGATCTGTTACGTAGTGGGGAGATCTTGCACAGTCCCCCCCCTTCTCTCGTTGTGATATGTCTTAATCCTGAAAGTCTCGCTCTCGAAATTTGGCACCATTCCGGTTATCATTTTCCATGTGTACAGAATGACATATAACTCTCCCGTCTTCTCTGCAGTGAGTACAGGTTCAGTCGCTGTAACCTCTCCCAATAATTAAACTTCTCCATCCCTCTGATCCCTTGCGCCTAGTGTGAACGGGGTCCAGAGCTGGCAGCAGTATTCAAGGATAGGTATTACAAGGGCTCTGAAGAGTGTGATCATCGGTTTCGCTTCTCTCGTTCTGAACGTCCGCCAGATCCACACCATCTGTCGTCCACCTCTTGCGGTTATTGCCGGTATGTGATCACCAAAATTGACCTGATTGTTCATCAACACTCCTAGATCGCGAACGAGTCGCTTCTCTTCGATTTACTGGGACAAAACCATACTGACTTTCGCTAATCAGGTTATCACGCAACAGGTGTTGCAATATTTGTGACCTCACCAACTGCTCAATCACTTTACACATACTACAAGTGAGACTGACAGGTCTATAGTTGCTAGCCAATGCTCTGCTGCCCTTCTTCAAGACCGGTAAATCTGTTGCTTGCTTCCATTCGTTAGGTATTTTTCCGTCTACCAGTGAACGTGCAAATAAAAGTGAAACGGGTTCTGCTAGTTCTCTTGCCGCCGCCGCCAAAATGAGTGGGGGAAAACCATCAGAGCCCGGGGCCTTTCCTGCGTGTAGTCTGCTCAACAACCTGCAAACAGCATCCTCAATGATGTCAAAGTCCAATAACTAATCATCTAATTCATAGTCCGCTGTTTCAGGAATTGCCCGTCATCTTCTTTGGTAAACAGGCTCATGAAAAATTCACCGAAAATATCAGCCTTCTCCTGATATGAATCGGTTCTTGATCCGCCATCTTTCCTTAAGGCGGCCACGCCATTTCTTAACTTGGTTTTCGACTTGACGAAACTCCAACACGCCTTGGGATTTCTTTTTGCTTCATCCGCTACCCTCCTCTCCAGTTGCATTTGTGCTTTACGATATTCCTTCCTGGCTTTATTTTTCTCCTTTATGTACGCCAGGTAGTCGTGACCGTCCCTGGTCTCCTGTCACTTTCTAAACAACTTGAGCTTTCTCCTTACCGAGGCTAACACTCCCTTTGTCATCCAACTGTTTCTCTTGGATCCTTCTGCCCGTGTTGGAGTAGTAGAGCTAATTGCAAGATTTAGTCTTTCCCGGATTTTCTGCCAAGTTTCCTCGACCGACATGTCTCCCAGCTCCTCGCCAATTCACGCTCGCCAACTCTCTTCTGAGTGCACCGAGGTCCATTTTCTGATAAGGCGCTTAGTCTTGGGCCGTTGACGCCAGCCGCATGCCAGGGTCAGGATAAAAAAAACAATGATCACTTTTGCCTGGCCCACTAGTAGTAAAGATGTCCGATATCATGTCATCACGGTTTGTGAATATCAGATCTACTATGTTCTCTTTTTCTCGCTCTCTATATCTCGTTGGTTCCTTCTGATGTTGCAGTAAAAAGCAGTCCCTAACAGTCCTTAAAAATGACGTTGATATGTGTTGGGGTCCCGCCCGGCTTACCTCCCTCAACCAGTCAATCTCCGGAAAATTGAAGTCCCCCATTACCATCAGATGCGAAGCGCCTAGTCCAGAAATCTTCCTCACGAGTTCATTCAATTTCTCCGTGTTCTCCTGTGTAGAGTTAAGACTTCGATAGACAAGGTCTATCAACAGTTTGCTACCATCGTCCTGCTTACTCTCCACCAGGATGTATTCCTTGTATTTGCTATCAATGGCTTCGCAATGAGAAGGCCCCAACTCAGTCTTCACATACAAAGCCACTCCTCTTCCTTCGCTGCTCAAGTTAGGAAACAACTCAAATCGATCCAACGCCAGCTCACACTCTTCAGCAAATCTACTGTTCTTAGGATTAACCTCGACTATTCCAACAACGACGGGCCTGTGAATGCCGATCATCGCTTGCATCTCGTTTCGCTGGTTCATCAGTTGATCAGCATTCGTATACATGTATTATAGTTGCCAGTAGATTTTTCTTTTCTTTCACCTGAATCACGCTTAAAATTCGGCTCCTTCCCCTTGTTACATCCATTTACAGTTGAACTATTTTTCAGTGTTAGCGGTCCTATTTGGCGTCCCCTTGTGGGTACCTGCTAACATTCTCTATTTTGCCTCAGCGAAGGATCCTGTTGGCTTACTGGTCCCCGAATTTTGTGACTCCTGCCTCCGCCTCCTCAGTACCTCAAATAGTGCCGCTTCATCTACTCTCTCCTTGGGTGTGAGATCCCTGCGCATACCCAATCTAGTGAGGACAAGATCTCCGTTTTCTCCCTGCTCGCCAGCCCTTCCAGCTGCCTTTTTTGCTCTTAAAGCTGCAACCACCTCATTCCTACTTACTTCTGAATTGAAAGTTAGGCACAACGGTCGTACCTTCTCATCTCCCCCTGAATAAACTCCCAGTCGCCTTAGATCAATAGGGGTCTTCTGCTCCAACTCGATTGCCTTCAGCAGCTGTCCCACTCTTTTCTCATCTTCCTTCCTTCTGTCATTCATTGTTTTCTCTTTGTCCTCACCAAGACCGAAAACGAGGACATTTGTTTTCCTCCTTCCCCTGTCTTCCATTTCTGCTGGTTCCTCCTTTGTTGTAGCCCTGATCAAGCTTGCCACCTCATTCCGCTGTCCAGACGCGTTGCCAGTCGCGTGTACAACGAAATTTCTTTTACAGTCTCTATCATTGCAGGTGTAAACTTTCCGCT